CCAAGAGGAGAATGGAGGAGAAGGGATTGTGGCGCGGCCATCCCCCCTGGGGGGTGATTTCTCGCTTTCTGTCTCTATGTCTCTCTCTGTCTGTCTGGTGAGCGCACGTGCCCTATAGCAGAAAGCCTCTCAAAAAAAAAATATTGCACTTTGCATAACAAAACTCACTTTGTACTGTAGAGGTCTGGCATAGGGGAGAAGTCTGACACCTCGCACCCTCAGGGCCTGTGCGTAAGTGAGCAGGGGGCAGCTCACCAGGGGTCTTCCTCGTCTCTGCACTCTGGGAGCCTACCACTGCCACAGCTGCACTGCTTCTACACACGGCCACCCCGGGAGGGCCGGGGGGGGTGTGGTCTCCTCCCGCCATGGTCACTCCCACTCCCTCCAGCCCTGGTCCCTATCTGAGACCCAGTGCACTCCGGCAAGTATGCCCTGGCTTCAGAATCTGCGTGTCCACTCTGACCCTGGACGTCTCTTGGCCATATTTGATCTCTGCCGCTGAGAACCACGGGAGTTGATCTTTCATTCTTCAATTCCCAGAGGATGTGTGTAGTCATCAGAAAAAGGGAGAGAGGAAGAGAGAGACACTGCCAACCGGAGGGGGTCACACCACATTCCTTTTTCCTCCGTTTCTCCACTCCGTCAGGATTTGGGGCATGCATGGACATGCGTCCTTTGTGATGTTTTTGTTAAGAGAGACTTTTGCTGTAAGGGCGCGTGCACTCACCAGAGACACAGAGAGAAGTCCTAGAAAAGTATTTTGCTCTCTAAAAATGATGAAATGTGTTCTAGTAATTTCCTTACCCCGCACAAGTATTTCCAAATACCTTTTTCCACCTAGTGCAAAAATAAGCTCCAACTTACATCACCTGGTCATGAAGTTAAAATGGCAGGAAGTGGGACTCTAGGTGGACCGACCACGCGTGTTGCCCAAAGCCTCACGTAACGTGAGTTGCAGCACAGCAGGAAGCCGCTAACCTGAGTCATCCTGTGAACAGGGCGCGATTACTGCTCGTCTTTGCGAATCCTGGTGGTGTCCACCCTCAGAGAGTGACCGCCATTTCTCGTGACTCTTCAGTGTGTCACACACACAGAGAGCAGAGGCATGAAATTGGATGAGCTCCTCTGCACGGGAGCTGCTCTGCGGACTCCGATGGGAACCCGGCCCTGTGAGAAAAGAGACAAACATGAATGTCATTTTACATCACATAGCGAACGAGCTCTCTTGACCTACGTATAAACTATGTGAAATAATAAGGGTTAGGAATAGCTGTTTCTTTTCTAAGTCTATTTCTTTATTTCTTGAGAGGGAGAGAGAGGCACCCCCACACAGCCTGTCCACCAGCCAGGACCGTGAGCACGTGAGCCTGGCACGCGGTGACTAGGGAAAGGAACCCCCGACCTTCCGTGGAGCCATGGCACTCGAGCAGTGTATTCCCACTGCGCCATCCAGCCAGCCCAGGAAGCACTGCTAAAACGTGGAGCGTCCAGGACTGCAAGAGGCCTTTGTGCATCACCCCCAGGCTTTCGTCTGTAAAGCGTACAGTACTTTCCCCAAAATGAAATGGAATGATTTCATCCCGTTCTGGGAAAATCACAAGCACCGAGAGTCAGCTCTGAATCGGTGGCTTAGTTAAACCCACGCCATTTCAGACAATAACACTAAATTATGAACTCCTTCCAGCACAACTGGCTGCTCCACATTCTGTCATAGCGGCCACTTCCTCCTTGTCACTCACAGAGTACGCCTGGTCATTCTTAATTGTTCACATTTATTTTCTTATTCATAATATAGTTTGCCCTGAAACCCATCAAAAGACCCCTTTAAAAAAATGCACTTTGGAAGGGACAAGCAGTTAGTGTAATGTCTATGTCGCTGGACACCCCCGGGGGTGGTGGCCGGGCCACATTCCCTTCTCCTCCATTCTCCTCCCAGGATCTTGGGCACGCATGCACACACGCCTGGCGTGAGTTTAAGCCACCGGGTCCAGGACTCGAACCGCAGTGGAGTTCAGCGACATAGCCATTACTATAACAGCTGGTCCCACCAGCATAAATTTAAGGCACCGGGTTCAGGTCTCGAACCAAGGTTGACTACATGTGAGTCCAGCGACATAGCCATTACACTAACAGCTAGTCCCACCAGCATAAATTACAAGGCACTGGGTTCAGGACTTGAACCAAGGTTGACTACATGTGAGTCCAGAGATGTAACTATTACATCATCTGCTGGTCTCACCCCATCAGAATTTTTAAAAAATTACTATTTAAAAAAATGTATTTATTTATTTATTATTATTCAATTTGGCCAGAGAGAGAGTGAGAAAACAAGCCACCAGGTCCAGGACTCAAACCACAGTCAACCACGTGGGCATCCAGCACCGTAACCACCGTGCCATCCGCTGGTCCCGCCATCATGATTTCTAAGGCACTGGGGCAAGGATTAGCATGAAGGTCAGCCACGTGGGATCCGGATCCCAGTGTATTGTGCTTAAACGCTGTGCGACAGGGCTGGCCCAGACAATGCCTTTTAGGACGGACTTTGAAAGAGTGACCGGTCCTCACTCCTCATGTCATTTCATAGGCTGCCTAGGTACAAAGGAAACGGCGTTCGTCACTGAGTTCCCGGGCGAGGCCCTCCTCTAATGGCTCTGCACTCAGATTTGCCCTCTAGGTCCTGCCCTGAGCAGACACTTGCCTGCCCACTCAGCCCTTGGTGTGCCTCCCCGCAGGCAGGCCCAACCACTCGGCCCTCGGTGTGCCTCCCCACAGGCAGGCCCAGGATATGGCGTCAGCCTTTCTGGAGAAGCTTCTAAAGACCATCTTCAACCTTCCTCGAGGAGAGCAGCTCGTGGGAAAACTCTAGGCAGTGTGGGTGGCACAAGTGAGCTTCTGGGTGGGAAGGGGACAGGTGAGGGGTTTACCTAATGCCAACTCTCAATCCAAAACACCTGTTATCCTCATCGATGACTGGAAATTGCCTGTGTTTGGGACCAGCAGATGCCGTAATGGCTACATCGCTGGCTCCCACATAGTCCACTGTGGCCTGAGTCCGGGAGCTGGTGGCTTAAAACTCAAGCTGGCGGCTTAAAACTCATGTGGGGCACATGTGTGTGTGTCCAAAACCCAGAGAGGAGAATGAAGGGAGTGATTACGTTGTGGCCACTCCCCGGGGGGTGATTTCTTGCCTTCTCTCTGCCTCTCCGGTGAGTGCATGCACCCTATAGCAAAAATTTCTCTTAAAGAAAGAAAGTTCCCTGTGTTTAAAAGGTTGCATGGAGCTTAAGTCACCAGATCCCATATGGCCTTGGAGTGGACATCTCAGAGCCGACAGCTGGAGAATCACGCCAAGCACATGTGCATGCACACGGGAAATCTCGAGAACAGAGGAGAGACCATGGCGCTGTCTTCCCCTGCAGGGTGATTTCTCACCCCCCAACTCTGTCTTTCTGGCTGTCTGTCTCTCTCTCTGGCAAGCACATGTGCCCTATAGCAAGAAGAAAAAACTAGAAATCTTATTATTTTCTCCAAGAAGTTGCTGGGAAAAGATAAAACAGGGTAACATCTATAAAATGAGCTGAATTCCAGAATATTCCTCTTACTGCGTCAGCCATGTATCTGAGTACTTGGCACTGACTGAAATGCATTTTTCTCCTCTTCTCCCTAAATAAATGGGGACCCATCTTCTAGGGCAAAGTTCATGACTTGAGTCTCCTGAAATCTGGGGTTATGTCTTCCTGGAAAGAGGGTCAACGTCCCACATCATGACTCAGGACACAAGGACAGTCGTTAGGGGTACAAAGATTTTCTGCATTAAAGACGCGCATCCACCTGCCCCATGAACACTCGCTGACACTGGTCCGTGTAGGGCACGAGGCATCGTGATAAACAGTCACCCACACTCAGCCCTAGCCCAGTGTGGGGTCATGCAAACAACTAGGAAATTAAAACACAGTGGAACCTTTCCTTTGGGGATGGATACCCGCTGAGAGCACTTTCAGTACCACACTCGTGCCTTGCCTGATCGAATCCTCATAATCATAGTGCACCCCGCCGCGCCCCACACACACGCCTTCACAAAGTTCATGGAAGCCAGCATCACAGCACAGCAGCTGACAAGGCCGGGTCCACAGAGGGGCTGCGAGTGAGGCTCTGGCGGCCGAGAACACAGGCAAGGCCTAAGTGCACGTGTGCCCAAATCCTGACGGGAGGAGTGAGCGGGGAGGGGAGACTGCAATGTGGCCGGGCTTCACTGGGGGTGCTCTCCCCCCCACCGAGAGTGCAGGCCCGAGGGAAAGAACTTTTTTTTTTTTGGAGAGGTTTTAGTTATAGGGCACGTGCACGCTCACCAGACAGACAGAGAGAGACATAGAGACAGAAAGCGAGAAATCACCCCCCAGGGGGGATGGCCACGCCGCAATCCCTTCTCCATTCTCCTCTCGGGATCTTGGGCATGCACGCACACGCGCCCGGCGTGAGTTTTAAGCCACCGGGTCCAGGATGCGAACCGCAGTAGACTATGTGGGAGTCCAGTGACATAGCCATTACGCTAACTGCTGGTCCTGGGAAAGAACATTTTATGTGTGTGTGTGTGTGTGTGTGTGTGTGTACATGTGTGTGTGTGTACATTTATGTATGTATATATACACACATAAATATAAAGGTCAACAAAAATGCATTATTATGAAGAAACCGTGCATGAACCTTTGAAGTCCCCCACCATGTAAAAAGCTTTATGAAATATGGAATTAAAAATTAGTTTATTTTGATGCAAAAAAACTTTAAAATCCATGCATATCTTTTTCGTAATGCACATTTTCTGGGAACTTTTTGAAGAGCCCTCACATGTTATTGTTAACCCTCATTTCAAATGACTAAGCCTGGTGGACTTCTCGGTCACAAAGGCCACGGCCACACCTGCCTACTGTGCACAGATGCCGTGCGGGCACACGGGAGGGGCAGCTAACCCGGCCTAGGGCAAAGGGGGGTGCTGAAGGTGCCCCGAGGGCTAACATTTAACCCCCGATGAGGAAAGAGAGCAGTAGGGATCAGCCGGTGAACTGGGAGTGCTGGATTCAAGGCGCAGAAACAGTGCATGAAACGAGGAAGAAAACAGACCAATTATAATACTGATGAACTTCGAGTAAAGTAGTAACAACAGCAACACACACACAAATATGTATTTACAATGCCGTGGTAGTCATTCAATACACACTAGCTCACTGGGTCTTCCTGATGACTAAAACAGGAGCTACTGTTTCTTTCGTTTTATGGATAAGCCAAGGCACCAAGAACATAAATGACCTTTTATTAAAAAAGGAATTATTTCATTTATCATCATCCTTATTATTCGTTTAATTTGACTTGAGAGAGACAGAAAAAGGGAAGGTAGGAAAACAAGCCTCCAGGTCTGGGATTCAAACCACAGTTGGCCATGTGGGAGACCAGCACCTTAACCACCACGCCACCAAAAACCCCCAAACATAACTGACTTTTACAAGTTATACAGCTAGTAATTGACAGAGCCGAGATTTGAACCCAAACCGTTTCTGAGGGTTTGATTCCAGACTGACTTGTAACTCGGCAGCTGGAAGGGAGGATGGGAGAGAGGGCACAGGCAGGGAACTGAATGCCCGGAGGAGTAGGTAGGACCAGACCGTATGGGGCCTCTCTCAGCATTCAGAAGGGTCTGGATTTTATCCTGAACAGAATTGGGACCACTCATCTATTTCAACAAGAGGAACAGCAAAATGTAAACTTTTTTTTTTTTTGAGAAGTTTTTGCTATAGGGCGCGTGCGCTCGCCAGACAGACAGAGAGAGACAGAGAGACAGAAAGTGAGAAATCACTCCCCAGGGGGGATGGCCACACTGCAATCCCTTCTCCTCCATTCTCCTCTCGGGATCTTGGGCACGCACGTACATGCGCCCAGCATGAGTTTTAAGCCACGAGGTCCAGAACACGAACCGTGGTCGACTATGTGGGAGTCCAGTGACATAGCCATTACACTAACTGCTGGTCCCACAAAATGTAAACTTTAAGAATCTCCTCCAGTAGCACGTAGGCTAGTATTGTCCAGATGGGCCCACAGGGAAGATAAAAAATGCAGTTAAATGCTTCAGACAAATGGTAGTAAAGATGCTTAGAAGAGGAAAAACACAAAAAGTA